GGAGGGACAGAGGAAGATGAGGAAAGGCTGCAGCGAGACTACTGGCTTTGATTCAAGGATCGGACGCGGATAGACACCCGTTTTCCTACGAAACCGGCTCTGCGGACTTCCCGGACCTGTCCTGTTCCTCCCATAACCACTGCCATTAACAGAGTCCAGTAAAGGGGCCTCCTAACAGAGGCAACGAGGGATGCGAGAGGTCAAGCCTGAGGGAGGAGGAGGAGGAGGAGGGAGAGAAGACCCTGGTGCCCCCCAGGGTCTACCCGCCCCACCCTCGTGGACAGCAGGGTCTTTACATATCAAGACTTTTGTGTGTCTATGGGCAGCACTTTATGGAGTAGAAGTAATCCGTGTCTGTTTTTAGGCAGACAAGAATGGGTATGGGACGCTGAATCCGGTTTCCAGCAGGTGCTGCACCACACCAATAGATTGGAGCTCCGAGTGTGGGGTGTACGCATCACCTTCCCCTAGTACGCTGTGCCTGGGTGGGTTCAAAAAAAAAAAAAAAAAAAAAAAAAAAGCCACCTGGGGATTCCACAGATTGTTCAGGGTTCAGCCTCCGGACGCGTTGGTGCGAGTCCAACGAAACGAAAAATATATTAAAAAAACAATTCACCTTGTACGTCCTCTTCTAAGTACTACTCGTGGTTCTATCATTATCCTCGTGTGTTTTTTTTTCCGGAGCTTCTCTTTATCGCCAGTCTTGCACTCGTACTTTTGTGTCTTCCGCTCTTCCGTTGGGTCTGCCATAGCAATGTGCAAATTTGGGTGTATTAATGTGAGGGTCATCTTCTGGCACGACTCCCTAAATGCTTATTTTCCTCTTCACGTATTGTGACGATGCATTGCATGGTCGGGTCTCCATGCTGAGGATGAACCTGTATGTGATTCACACACATCATCACACAGACAGTTACAACTACGTGTTTCTTTGTGTTGTTGTCCTCTGGCCGACTGGTCTGGTATTCTCCCGTGCTCCCATGCGGTTCTGAGTGACTAGATTCAACACCTCTAAGGCTTGTGCGTGCTTGTATCCAGGGTGATAACAGAGACTGAAGTGTCTTCCTGGCTTCCATGGTGGTGTGAACATACACTTCGCAGGGTTATACTTGTGGTTTGTGAGGGTGACGATCTGCTTTGGTCCGTGCCATCCGGGTGGACTGCCACGTAGGTGAGGTCGTACTGCCTGGCTGCTCTTCTGCCTGCTTTGCTTGTTCACTCGTTGGTGTGCCCATCTTCTTTGCTGCTCTTTCGCTTGCCTTGTATGCTTCCTCGCCGCCCATCTGCTTCACCCCTCACTGTCCCTCGCGGCCTTGTTGCTTTGTTTGTCTTGCTGTGCTCATTGTCCTTCCCTGCTGCATGCCTTGTCGTTTGGCTGCCAACCCCCCTCCCTCGCGACCTCCAGTCTACCTGCCTTGCTGTTGCTTGCCATTCAGTGCCCTATCGGAGATCACTGCTCAAAACGGCAATACAGGTATGGGGATGCTGCAGACTGCCGAGGGCTCGCCGTTCCGATCAGTCGATGCACGTCCGACGAAACAGTCTGTCACTGTCCTCACTTGGTTTCTGTTCTTCTCGCCTGTTCTAGGCCGCGTACTTTTCCTGCCTTTTGCCCTCGAGACATCTCCGAGATTGTTGCTCGTTGCATTCGTTTCCGGTCACTGAAGAGTCAAATAGAGTCGTCTTGAAGTCATAACGCATGGTCCAGAGTACGACTCTGTTTTGCTCGAGATATCGGGCCTTGCCGCACCCCTCACCAAAACTGGAAATTTGTCCGAGAGTTCTTATACCTGTTGACGGGGCCGCACAACTCACTGAAATGATTTACCACCACATCGCTCACCAAAGTACCTACCAAACTCGTCAACGCTCACCAAATTATCTACCAAACTCGTCAAAACCCCACCTCCCTATGACCATCATTTTGGCCAGTGCTGTGCAGCCATCCACACTCCCAACAGCAAACTTTATTATTGAACGTATCTAACCCGACGATTCCCAGGATTCACTCAAAGAAATCGTAGGGCGCCCTTCTCCAGCTCACCAAACTGGTGAGCGGCACTGAGCGCCAAAGACAAACCAGTCCAGACTGCCAGTCTGGTCCGGTCGCAACCTCACCCACTATGGTGGGGGCCGTGGAGAGAGGACGTACCAAAAACCGATTGCCGAGGGCCGGGAGAACCGCAGGCTTGTCCTTTTCAGGAAGTCCACTTAAATCGGAACGATACACAGAAGATTAGCATTACCTACGCAAGGATGACACCCACAAATCAAGACATGGTTTGGGGTAGAAAAAGAAAACAACGGCAGGTTTGGCACACACTCACCAAACCCGATTTTCGCACGTTCGGACACAAACTTCAACACCGAAAACGATTGGCGAGGGGTTCAGCAACCAACCACATGCACACCATTTGCTAGCTCTATTCCTTCTTTCATCTTCCCATAATACTCTTCAAATAAACTATGTTTGTCGTGTTCTTTCCCTTCTCGTCTCGTTCTATAATATCTATATTTTACCCAAATCACCTTAAAGATGCTCTGAAGATGCTCTGAACGGTTCAGCGGCACTGCATAGAAGTAGATTCTGCACTATTAGGGCTGGCTACTTGTGTGACCACATTGCCTTCGTCTTTACAGTGTTCCCTGGTCATGGCACATTCCTGTGGCAGCGCCCTGGCTGCTGACGAGGGTGCAGTCCTACAGTCAAATACCTTCTGCATTTCAGGATGATGATGCTACTACTGCCTCCACCCGAATAGAACGCCAGGTCATCATCGCCGTATCTAGACTGAAAGTTGCGCCAAATACGAAGGCCATAATGACCCGGCATTCTATCCGGTAAAGACGGTCGTATGCTCATGTTAGCCTGTATGTTTGAGAGATCTCTCTGGCAGCTCCCTGACTGCTGATGGAGGCGTGGACCTCAAATCTTAGAGAGTTTCCCATTTGTGTAAGTAGACAGAACCCCACTTTTTTTTCCCCGTGTTTATTTCTTTAAACCCCCATCACCTGCAGCACGCCTGTCCTTTTCTTCCTTCTCCTTGTTTGTTTCTTTAAACCACCATCACCTGCAGCACGCCTGTCGCCGAAAAGGCTCCACTGGATCTCATCGACAGCAGGCCCAGCCCTCCTGGCACCAACTTGTAGGGTACTACTTGAAATTCGGCAGCCTGTAGGGTAGTGGTGGGTTTAAACCACCAGTACCTCTGCCAGTACGCGGCCGCGGGGCGTTCACGTTAACGCCACCCGACTTTCGGGGGCTCCGCTGCCGTTCAGATTTCGAATCTACGGCCCCCATCATGGCGCAGGCCTCCGAAAGTCGTGGTCTGACAACGCGCCAGGACAACCTGTAGGTACTGGTGGTTTAAAACCGAAAAAAAAAAATGAACCATTTCTCGTTTACTCATGTCATCCTTGCGCAGGGGTCATTCCAATCTATCTTCTCTGCATCGGGTCATGATAATCTTCTCTGCATCGTTCCAATTTTGACGGATCTCCCGGAGGACGGAGCCCAACTTCGATATTCGCTGTGTATGTGTAGAATGATGTGTTGGTATTTTATCCTGTTGCTTTGTTCTTTGTTCTGCTACTCGCCCACTCTCCTCTTTCCCTTATGCTGTTTTGCTGCCTTCCTGCCTGCCTCTTTTCTTTTTATTTTCTATTTTCCCTGCCCGTCTTATTGTCTGCTTACCTGCCTTGTTTCGTCCCATGCTCTCGTGTACCTGCTTGCCTGCCTTGTTGCCTGCCCTGGTGCCTGCCTTGCCTTGCTGTCCACCTAACTACCCCGCTCTGTCCCCATTATTGGTGCTGCCTACTCTGCTGTACCTTCTGCCTTGCATTGCCACCATCCCACCTGTCCAGTCGTAGCAAGCATTGAAGAGGACGATTACTACTTCACGACTTGACGAATCAATAGGGGATTCTGCAGACAGTCAATGATCCAGCCTCTTGAGGAGTCTGTCTCCAGCCTCCTGTTGTGTCCGTGCCAGTTCAACGACAGTCCACCATTTTCTCCTTTTTTTTTTTCTTTTTTTTTTTTTACCATTTTCTCCTTTTATTCTCCTGCCACCTTCAGTTCTTTCTGTGGATTCTGTCACACTGTTTCTTGCTCTAAAACAAAACAAAAAAACGCGCAGACGCCACAGAGGTCATTCTTTTTCTTGTCACAACCCCTCTTTCACCACCCCGTGGCCCACACCCGCCCGTAAAGTCGCCCAGTTTTCTCAGGGCCTCAGGCATATCACTAACATAGCGAGTCCTTGACCCCTCCATCAACCAAATGCATGACACTAGGCAGACATGACCCTAGGCAGACAATCGGGGTTCAGCCTACCGATGAGCCCGTGAAAGGCCAACAAAACCACAGTCTTGCTTTATTTGTGGAGTTGTGTATAGCGAAGAGAAACACAAACATAGAGAGGTAATGCGCGTTCCGACAGACAGACAGGACCATTCACACAGCCAGATCGTCATAGGACGTCGTATAGTTCAAATATACACAGCTCGCCCGCTACAGCCAGACTGGCAAGCGTGCAGGATTTTCGTCTCCCTCACTCGCTGTTGCTTCTTCATCCATCGATAACAGGACACACACCAAGAAAACAGAACCAGCAAAAAAAAGAGCAAAATTAAGTAACAAACAAGAGGCCAAAAATTGTTGCTGACTCTTCTCACACCCATGCACTCATGATGCAATCTTCCCTTCACCCACATCCACACACAAAAAGAACAAAAAGATGCTCATCCAAAGCAGTCCTCTATACGAGGAGTCAAAAATACAGACCATCTCTCTCTCTCTCTCTCTCTCACACACACACACACACACACACACACACACACACACACACACACACACACACAAAGATGCTCATCCAAAGCACTCCTCTATACGAGTCAAAAATACAGAGCATCTCTCTCTCTCTCTCTCACACACTTTGTTCCATGTGTTTCTCGTCTTATTTTGCAAGGAACTCCATTGAAGCTATTTGAACTCGCAGAAGGTCAAGGCCAAGGCCAGGCAAGAGCACAAAGTCTGCAGCATAGCCTTCCAACCCTCGTCATGATTCTGTGTACTCTTCCCCTTCGACCCGCGGATGGGTAATATCTCGTCAACAACAGTCAATATCTTCACACTCTGACAGAACCAGATCAAAGCCCACATCAGCAGCAGCTGTGAACTTCACTTCAGATACATCAGACTGTGAAAAGAGACTTTGTTTGATGAAAAAGCCATCTTTGAAAAAAGCACTCCCTTGAAAGAGAATGCCTAAAGAATGTAAGACAACAGTCTGCTTGAGGCCATAAAGACCCCTCTCGATCAGTCAAAAAATCACGTCTTTCCCGCTTCTAGCCTTTAAAACGGAATGACCTGGAACCCAGACCCAAATATATCCTTATCCATGATGCTATAGAAAAGAGAGAAGAAAGGGGAACTACCCTATAAGAGGGGGACGGGGGGGGGGGGGGGGGGGGGAGGGAGAAGTCGACAACTTATCACGGATCTTAAGCATCGGCAGATTCGACACTGAAAAAAAAAATGCCAACAACGGCCGCCGCACCACTCCTCCGAGTAGCTCCACCACTCCTCCGAGCAACTCTACCACTCCTAGGTATAACCCCGCCACAACAATTCAATTCAATTTTCAATACAAATCACAGACAAATTGCAAGAAAAACACCAAAAGAAGGGCCAAAAAATGAGGAATGCAAACCACCAGATTGGACGAGTCTAAGTTCAAGCAGCATAAAAAATGGCCGACGTCTGGGTACTCGGGATTTCGCACAAGCCCCCCTTCTGTACCCCCCTTGGATCGGGCAGGACGAAGCGGCGTACTCTTACAGCATACAGTGGTAAGAGGCCAACTTAGCTTCGGCCGAACCGGTGGTTTACGACAGAAAATCCTGCAATTTCAATTAATTAATTAATTAATTAATTATTCCTCTCCTTGAATTGATTAATTAGATATATATTGTCACATTGTGAATCAGAGCGCAGAAGCAAAAAAAAGGGGAAAGAAAAAAGGGAAAGGAAAAAAGGGGAAGGGGAAGAGGTAAGGAAAGCTCCACCTGTTCATAACCTCTTACGTACAAGGCCAGCCACGCGGATGACAGGTTGAGCGCTGGCTGGCCCCATCCCCGTGTGTCACAAGGACCCACTTGCACGCAGCCAAAAGGCAAAGAGGTAAAGAAAAGGAGGAAACCAAACCTGACAGGGAAAGAAAGATAGGGAAAGAAAAGATAATCCAATTATCACAAAGCAAATAACACATCCCACAGATCAACGTGTCCTTTATCTTTTTTTTCTTTTTTTCTCTTTTTTTCTTTTTTTCTTTTTTTCTTTTTCTCTTTTTCTTTTCTTCTTTTTTTCTTTTCTTCTTTTTTTCTTTACCTGTCCCCACCTCGGCAGATAGGACAGCTACGGCAAGGATGATGTGGATGTTCACAAGGATGCCCAAGGAGAGCTGCGCCAGCACAGCATTCTGCAGGACGGCTAGCACGAACCATCCCATCAAAACAGTCCTGACAGAGGACATGTTGTCCACATGTCAAAAACACAGCAGGACGTTCATCACAGTGCGGCATCATACAGTTCTGATAGCGTCCTTGGGCACAATAGGGACAACATATATCTGGGTGATAGGGATGTGTACAATGAGGAAATGTTGGACACCCTTCAGGACAGACGGCGGCAGTCGCAATAGATTGATAATGGCTATGGCATAGATGATGCATTCCACAGCCAAGGCACACCGCGTCTCTGTCCCGACAGGTGTCACACGAGATATATATACGTCGTCGTCGTCTTCTTTCGCTCTCAAACTCTCCTTGTCCACCATAGCTGGCATTCTCACTCCTTCAGCTTATCTGATCGCCTCTTCCTCTTCCTCTTCCTCCATGGCTGGAGCACTTCAGAACATTGGGGTTCTCGGATGAACCCTCGATTTCTCCGTGTCGATGATAGCACCGATACGTCTGACAGTTTCTTCGAGATGTCCTTCCTCGTTGACAACAACATAATCAAACTCGATCATTCTGCGAAGCTCCTCGGCCGCAGTTTTCACTCTGACAAGAAGTTTATCTGGCGTCTCCGTTTTCCGCCCGATCAGTCGCTTGGTCAGAGCGGCCTCACTCTCTGCGACGAGGAAGATGAATACTGCGCCATTGCCCACAATCGATCGGACGGTGGCAGCACCTTGCACATCCACACGCATTACCACATCCTTTCCTCTGGCCATGGGCTCGCGAAGCTGCTTCTTTGGAACGCCTTTGTGCTCACCGTAGACCATGGCGTGCTCAAGAAGCTCGTTCTCATGAATCATTCGCTCAAACTCCGATTTAGAAACAAAAATGTAATCTTTGCCATCTACTTCGTTAGGTCTCCTGGCCCGAGTCGTCGCAGTCACCACAAAGTGCAAATCGCGTCGAACTTCCAAAAGACGCTGCCGGACGGGGCACCAGAAGAACGAAACAGACGAACAATCACAACCAGTCAACCCAGATTTCACCCATGTCAATCATTTATTTTGAACTCATGTCAATCAATTATTTTGAACTCATGTCAATCATTTATTTTGAACTCATGTCAATTGTTTATTTTAACCCACGTCAATCCGTCAATTAACCCCATGTCAATCATTTATTTTAACCCATGCCAATCAGTCATTTTAACCCACCACCAGTCGACCAAATTTATCCCATGACAATCGTTTATTTATTTGACCCATGCCCGCTCGACCGAATCGGAGGAATAAAACAGCTCTGTGTTAACAAAAAAACAAAAATGTCAACCATTTATTTTTAACCCATGTCAAACATTTATTCTACCGCAAGTACATCATTTACTGTAACCCATCTCAATCATTCATCAGGCCCACAAAGGTATCACGCCCACGAAGGTGCCAGAAATTTGACAGTAGAACAACCAATCAATCGCAATCAATGAATCAACCGACCGATTCAGTCAATCGATCAATCAATCAGTCAATCGATCAATCTATCAATCAATCAATCAATCAATCAATAACAGCAGTAAATCTGCAAATTATCATCATGTATTCAAAAACAGTAGCTGAGACCAACATCTGATCAATGGATCAAGCCAATTACAGAATCCAATCGCTCGTCAGAGGCTCGTCCTCTCACGAATCGTCATCTCATAGATAATTGATCAGATGCTGTCACTTCAAAAACAGTAGCTGTCAATCACTTTTTGTTTGAACTCGTCCGTTCCGTCTTCTTCTTCTTTTCTTTTTTTTTTTTTAACAAGTTCAAACAAAAAAAAAAAAAGTTCGTTAGATCTCCTAGCACACGTTGTTTGTTGCCGTCACTTCGAAATGAAATCGTTTTCTGCAGCAATCAATCACAGGCTTCGTTGGGTATTTTATTTAGGTCACGTTTATTGTTCCCCTTTTGTTTGGTCTCAAAGGGTAATCAATGCTGCCCTGCTTTTTGTACAGAAGTGACACTCGTAGATAATTGTCTGCAAAGCGATGCTGGACCTGGTTTCCAGCAGGTGCGGCTTCCCATCAATAGATTGGAGCGTTCAAAAAAAAGAAAAAGAAAAAAAAAGAAAAAAAGAAAGAAAAAAAGAAAAAAAAAAAAAAAGGGTCACGTTTCTGGTTTCCCCAGCCACCAAGTGTGATTCATGCCGAATTCCAAGAAGACGATGCCACCACCGTAGATACGCAAAATGATGAAATTGTCCGTTGATGCCCTTCTCTAGCTTACACATTACACAGCTTTCGCGCTCTACGCAAGGAATGATGAAGGTCCTCTTTATGATTGATTGAACCAATCATTTTGGATAAACTAACGCCTTCATCGAGATGTACTTGTCGTTGACAACAACATAAATCAAACTCGATCATTCTGCGCATCTCCTCGGCCATCTGACGGATCTCGTTGACACCTCGATATGCACATCTGAAGAGGAACTGCGCAGAATGATTGAGTTTGATTCATGTTGTTGTCAACGAGAAAGGACTGCGAGTCAGTTGATTGAGAAAAAGAGACGAGCAATCAAACTCCGCGCGAGTTGGTTGAGCAAATCAACCAATCAATTTGGTCAAATCAATCGATCATAAGCCAAATCAGACTCAATCGAAATTGGCTTAATCAATCAAGGGCCTTAAATGAAGCAATCAATTGCTCGAGTCAGTGAGTCGAATCAACCAGGTAAAAAGAGATCAAATTTCCATCAATCAGTTGTACCAAAAATCAGCCAATTAAAAAGATCGATCTCGTTAAAGTCGATAATTAATCAACTCAACTCAATTGATCGCTTAGAAACAGTAACCCAATCACTATCAACTAATCGATCAATAAAAATCAACGATCGAGAAATTAATTCAAAACCGACAAATACTAAAACTCGATGAATCAATCAATTAACCAGTCAAGCGTTCTACAAACCAATCAAACGAACGTCATAATCGATGAATAACTCAATATCATCATTCGATTCACCAATCAATCACTAAGTCAATGAATTGCTCTCTCGAACAAATCAATCACCACTCTAATTAGTACTCCATAAAAAAAATCACCCAATCAATCACCACTCTGATCAGTACTCCATAACTGAACTAATCGATCAATCGACTAATCAATCCATAAGTACGTCAACCACCTTACCCATGATGAAGCAATCAACGAGTTCGACAGTTGAACAATCAATCAACCAATCAATTAATCAATCAATCAATCAATCAATCACGCAATCAATCAACAAATTATGACAATTCGTGATTAATTACCGTAGCATGTCCACTCAATCTGTCAAACCCTGCCACATCCCACGAGTATATCAAAGCCAATCAGTCCATCGATTACCACCGCTGCATTGATCAATCCATCAATCCACCAACTGTTTCCATCTCTAACTATCTATCGTTCACTCAATAAGACGCTAATCCATGCGACTGGTGCTACGGCAATCAATCTATCGTTGACCCCAAAATGGAAACCGATTTCGAGCGCACATCAATCCTAATCACAATCAAGCCATAATCAATTATCAAACAGTCAACTAATCAAGCCAAAGGACTGTAAACCACAGGATAAAGTAATCAATTAGTAATCAATTAGTAATCAATTAGTAATCAATTAGTAATCAATTACACCTGTAAGCAATCCTAGTATCGCCTTGTCCGATCAAGCAATCAGCATCATGCACAGCCAGCCATAGCACCTTGGTCGGAAGAGAGGCGGGGGGGAGAGGGGG